CTAAAACTGCTCTAAACTCGACAAACTCCAGCTAAAATTAGAAATTAAGTAACCATTTTCAGTAATAAGTCATTATAAACGATAAAATAAATAGTTAAAATAACCCATGTAGGGAATTACAGTACAAAAATTCCATATTAATAAATAGAAAAAAATTAATAAAACGCACTGAAGAAGGCCGTCTAATTTAGGGCATGATGCTAAAAATTCCATTTTAAAGTATTTATTATAAACTGTTGAGATACCAACAACATTTGGTACAGCTAACTGACGAAATCCAGGATGCACTGTCAAACAAAGGACCAATCATGTGTGCCTTCCTAGACATAGAAGAAGCGTTTGACAACACGCCACACGAATCTGTCGAAAGAGCACTTGCATACAGAGAAGTATATAGCTCCATATCCAGATGGATGGCTCAGCTGCTATCTACGAGAACTGTAGAGACACAAATAGGACAGGAAACCATCTACATCTGCACAATCAGAAGATGTATATGCCTATTAATGTGGAGCCTAACCGTAGACGAACTTCTATGCATATTGACTGACCTCGGCATAACCTGTTAAGGTTATGCCGACGACATAGTCATGTTTGCTAGAGGTAAGTTTGGAAATATCCTGTGTGATATAGTCCAAAGAGGACTAGAACACACCAAAAGGTGATGCCGTGAGGTATAAACACCACGAAAAAAAAAAAACTAGTAACGTTTTCAAGAAAATGGAAACTCAATCTCAATCCATCAAATTAGATGGGATAGATATAGAATGGGATAGATATACATAGAATAGTAAAAGAAATCAAATATCTAGGCCTAACCCTGGACAACAAACTTCTCTGGAACATACATGAGAAGGAAGTAGTAAATAAGGCTAATGATATGCAGAAACATTGCAGGACCTAATATCTCGAAAGTACAAAGACTGGCCTGTGTATGCATCACTGGTGCAATGAGAACCTGTCCTACGGCAGCAATGAAAGTGATCTTAAACCTTACCCAGCTACATATAATGATAGAGAATGTGGAAAAAGGACAATATAGAATGATCAGGAGTGGAGTAATCATACTAAAGTCTATTAGCTCCAGGACCGAAGATACTTGAGATATGCCACAGAATGAAATGAAAAGAAATACAGTTTTGTTTGTGAAAAACTTTAAAACCACAGAGCTGGGATACAAGAAAAAATAGAGCCAAGAATCTATCGTTCTTGCAGTCAAGTGCTATTTAGTGGTTTCAAAACCATGGAAGGAACCTGGAATAGGAGTGTATGGAAGGGACCTAGAACCAGGCACTCTGAAAATTTTGGAAAATACCCAAGCATCATTCAGGCGGAAAATTAAGCAATTGAAGCGGTTATTGTATAAAGGGAACAAATTCATAAACCATACTTTGAGGAAATACGAAAAAACGTAATATCTTTAAAATGGTAGTTCTAATTTCATTTTAGTGTACATGAAAAATAAAGCAATGGGAAATGAGTAGCATAATAGTTACAACAAAGTGATAACTGTCCATTTTCACACTTTTTTTTAATTGGACTTGTTCCCTTTATAATATAAACACTAACGATAACGATAAAAAAATAAACTGTATGTTCAAAAATATTTTTTTTTTATCAAAACTTACAAGGAAGGTAATTTGAAGCACTTTTGGTTGGTTGATGGTCATTCATTAAACTGTAAAAAAAAAACTTATGCTCATCAGGAATACATTTATTCAAGTTTTTTTAGTTTTAATTGGAACTTTTCCTTCATGTGCCCTTTTTGTTAGGTATGATGGTTTAGCGGTATTTTTTGGCAAGAGAAACTTGGAGACAGTAAGGCCGTCAATAAATTCTCTTTTTGGTAAGTTAAGTGTTTGTACTTGGATAAGCAAAAGTTTTTCTTTATTGTTTTCGGTAATTTCTTTGGTAGTTTTTTAAAATATAGAGGCCCCCATGACTTAAAGTCTAACTCGTCTTCCGTGTTTATGACTTTTACCAAAAAAGATAAGTTTGCTTCTCTTGGCATTTGCTATTAACGAGACATATTCCATAGGCGTAAAGATGCGATCAAGACGTTTAAAACGTCTTTTTATTATGCCAAAATATCATCAACACTACACGTTTGGGACTGCGCAACATTGGTTTATTGTATAAAGTAAACATGTCCTGGACTCGTTCCATTTATACGATCACCACTGATTTCCGAGCTGCATAATTTCAACAAATATTAAAACACATGTTCCCTTTATATATCAGTTTGTGAACGTGTAATTTACAAAATATCTATTTCAGTTAATTTTCATATAAGAGGTGACTTGTTCCTTTTATACAATAACCGCTTCAAATGAGAAGTGTATCCAGTTTAACATCGAGAGAAACTATTGTAGACAAGAGATTATCATCATATCCGATAGCCACGTAGCCATTAAACCGCCGATCTCTTATGTAATCAGCTCAAAAATGGACTGGAGATGCCTAGAAAAACTTAATGAGCTAGGCGAGGAAAATACATTTACTCTCATTTGAGTCCCGGGATATAACGGGGTAAAGGGTAACGAGATTGCACAGTCTTGCAATGAAAGCGGCTCAAATACCCTGAGCCGTTCTGCGGTATCAGCAGTATCACAATATTAGGAGATATTAAAAAAGAAATGGACAGTAGAAGAACCGATAATTGGAACGACCTCTCGAGGTTAAGACAGGCTAAGATACTTTTTGCTGAATACATACAAGCAGAAAAGATCGGAAGCCTGTATCTGCCTGAACTAGAACTGGCTATGTATTGTAACAGGTACCCTTACTGGGCATTGCCAACACAAAGGACACCTTAGTAAACTGAGAATGGTAGAAGATAGTGAGTATAGATTCTGTGAGGATTAGGACGAAACCTCCATTCTCACTGAATGTGTAGCACTCCATAATCCGAGGACACTATACCTAGGAGAATATCAAATAGAAGAGGGATATTTACCAACTTGAAGTCACTCCAAACGATATACTTTCTTGAGAAGATAGGATTGGAAGGGTCGTTGTAGGCCTCTGGACATTTCCTTGCTGCATTAGCGACAGAAGGCGACACAATAGATATTTTAGGCCGCAGTACATTAACACCCCATTCCCAACATAACATATACACAATATTGTAACTTGCGCCGCCCCTGCAGCGTTGCTCTACAACACTGAAATCGGCAAAGCTATTACGTCACCCTCTTGTGATATATAAGCGTCACATCAGAGCCAATAAAAATGTAACACAAGAGAAGCGATGCTACCACTAGAAAAGATGACTGGTCAGTCAGTTAAAAACAGAATACATTTTTCATCGTTTTAGATCATATCCTTACACACCTTTGACAAGAAAGCACTCTCATATATGGTTTTCGTTAAAAAGCCAAACCGCCATACCGTCATTTTTTAACAATACATAATAATTAAATTCAAACACAATGTGGCTAATTCTATAAACAAACAAAAAATGTACATACATTAGAACCACTATTATCTGGGCCAGATGGGACCGAGCCTTTGCCGGATAATTCAAAAACCTCATTTTTAATTTTTTAATAAGATATTTAGACAAAATCTTAGAAGATACATAAACTTTATTGAAATTAATATTTATTTGTAATTTTATTAGTATCAAAATTAAATGTAAGCCCATCAAATGTTCGAGTTACCATTCGTAAGTAAACCAGCGTTCATGCGCCAAACTGTGGCCTCCAGCCACGGATAATCCGCGCACGGATGATCAATTTAAAATGCCGCACGGATAACAGAGGTTCTACTGTAGTTGATAATGTTATTTGTGAACCATGTTTTGTGTAAATAAACTATTTAAAAAGCTAATTAATAAAGCCGTGTTCAGTAATATATGAATTTGAACACAACCACACTTTCCAGCAACCCGCACATATCAGAAAATCAACAAGAATGTCTCAAACTACCGTCCATTTTAAGATCAAGGGTAGGATTTTACCTTATTTAACAATGGTAAAATAGTCGGCATTAGTTTCCAATGCCGGTATTGCCCTATAAACCGTATTCCCAAGAAATCACCTAAAACAACCTAGTAAGAAAATAATAATTAAGAACCACATTTGCTAAAGAATGTTTTGTCAGCGCTTCTCTATCATTTAAGAAACTCCATTGAAAATCAGAAACAATTGCTCACCGCCAAGATTTTGAGCGGGAAATTATTTGTAGCACTTAACAAAGTACTGCACAGAATACTGACTGTCAGTGACCGTTTATGATTACCGTATAAGAACAAAAACGTGAAAAAAAAATTTTTTGAAAATGTATCTAGGCTGGAAAAACTATGACTAAGGACATCAAGCAACAATTTCTGGGAAAAAGGTTAAAAAAACATGCACGACGAAAATAGTATTGCACACTAAAGCAATCTCTAAACTCATGCCAAAGTCTTCTTTGGATTAAGGCAGTGACATGACTTGTCAAGTCGCGCCCCTTCTAGTATCGGACCAATTATTTTGACCTATGATTACGTGGTGTGACATCGGGCGATGTAACTTTCTGCCTGTACTAAACACTTGGCGAAAAGAAACATGGGTACTTGTTATATAAACTGGCATGAAATAAATGACTATATACCTAGTTATTTTGTTACGGTTAAATATGTTATGTTTTTAAAATGATGCAAGAACTTCTAAAGAAAAGGACAAAATCGTTTTCTTCATCAGCTTCAGAATTTAGTGAGAATAGTAAACTCAAAGAAATCATCACTAGGGTTTACCCAGAGAGTGATGGACGAATTCGAGTAACAGGTATAAAAACTTGTACCAAACTCTGTCTGCTCGACATCAACAAAGAAGAGTGATGAATTCATTTCATCACTGGGCAGGAGTGTTACCTAAGTTCATTGTGGTGTGTACGTATTTATAATTTTTATTGTCTTAAGTCTATTTTATGGTAAGGAAAATAGATTAGATGGAAAAACGAATGGGAAAGTACGAGAAAAAGGTAGTTCAAATGGTTATCTAAAAAAATCAATTTACTTTATCTTTCTTTTTGTCCTTCTTCTCCTTCTCTTTCTCGTCCTCGTGAGGCGGCGTCGGCGACGGAGTATGCGGTTTCCTAAATATATCCATGACTTTGGTCATGGGACCGCGGCTGGCCGAGGCGGCCGCGGTGACCGTGTGATAGTATTTTGTGTCACTTTCGTCGTCGTCTTGGACAGGATGGGCGGAGCCGTCTCTGGGTTTCTTGGTGTGAATCAAGCCGGTGTGCTAAAAAATAAAAACTTTTAAAATAAAGTCTTTTATTTATTATTGAAACTGTTCAGAAGATATTTTCCCTCTAAAGATGTAGCAAAAGGTTTTAATACCAGTTTATCGAGTTAATGAAATAATTTCCAATTTCGAATGACAACATTTCGAGAACAATAGTTAGAACTATACAAATTCGAATAACAAAACTTAGAAACTGAAAAAAGTTTGAAATTGAAAGTGAGAAAATATCGAAACCAAGAAAGATCGAAATGAAAACAATTGATCGAAATCGCATATGATCGAAACTACAAATCAGATAAGATCGAAACTACAAATGATAGAAATCACGTATATGATCGAATAAATTGTTGGTATAAGATCGAAAGCATTATATTACGAAATTAGTAAATTAATTGTTTTTTGTCTTAAGTTAATTATATTTTTGCGAAGCAACGCGCGATGACTCCAGGCCGCACAGGTTAGGTAACTTATTTTTTTATTAATTAGAATACTAGGAAAATATTTCTGTTTTCTTTAATATATTTTACAATTGAGGGGGTCAGTGGAAAAGTGGTATAAGTGACTTTTTAATCAAAATAAGTCTAAGTACACTTCTGCAAAAGTAATGTAACATTTCGTTTAAAGAAAAATTGATACAAGTGAAAATTGTGCTTGATAGCGACATCTTACGTATGTTTTCCTTCCCCGCAAGTGGACAACTGCGATATTTGAGAGCTGTAGAAATTTTAATGTTTATGAAATGACATCAAACGACTTTTTTGCATTTGGATACTGACGGCATTAAACAAAGTGCAAAACACTATGACGATGGACGTGATTTTCGATGGAGACCAGTTAGATGGATTAGGGTCGAAAAGGCTTCTCCATTTCAAATGAAATGTAAAGAAAATCTTTCTGAGGACTTTAACTTTTATATACTTAACTGGAAGTCCATACAGGTCGGAAGACCACCAAGTAGTACAATGCAACTAAAACCATTATATGATCATCCAATAAACATAAAACATCCCAAATACAAAGACAAAATGACACTGCTTGATTTTATGCCACCAGTATATAGGTACCATGATTTTTATAAAGGATTAACCCAATGATGGTCCGTCGCCTAAGACCTCTCAAAAGCAAAAAAACTGCTGCTGTGTCATCTACAGCTACCGAGAATGCAGATGAAGATGAAATGGAACGAGTACTATTAATGTCAGACTATGAAAATGACACATTATGATAGATTGACTTATCTTATAATGTATTTGTTATTAATAGGTACCTAGTTATTTGATAGTGTGGTATTATAAACAGTTTCTAATAGCACCATTTTTACCTTTTCCATTATCCTATCTAAAATGGTATATGTGAGGAAATGGTTTTTCTGAAAATTATTCAATAATGATAGGTGTACTTAATTTTATTGACAGTAAATAATAGTAAAAAACTACATTTGAACATGTTTGTTTATTATTTTCAGATATATAATAATTATGTATTCATCGTTATCTTCTTTACTTTATTACTCATAACAAAAATTTAGTCACATGTACCATTTTCCCACTGACCCCCTCAATTAGATTCAACCATTAGAGTACCCTCACTGTTATAATACTACCAGGTACATTACCAACTCAGTTCATGTCCGTTCCAAGTTTTTAGTATTAAGATTGTTATTTTTAAGCTATAAAGTTAGAAAACGAAACATATTTTCCAAGTATTCCAATTTAAAAAATTCTTAAATAATTCACCTAACCCGTGCGGCTTGGAACCAGCGTGTTGCTTCGCAAAAAAAAATATATACACAAAATTAGAAAAATAAAAAACAACTAATTTACTAATTTCGTATAACACTTTCGATCCTATACCATTTCGATCATTTGATCATTAGCAGTTTCAAAAATATGTGATTTCGATCACTTGTTATTTCGATATTTTTTTCTAATTTGGATATTTTTTGGTTTCGATCTTTTCTCACTTTCAAAACTTTTGTCTTCGAACTTTTGTACTTTCGAAAAGTTTTAGAATCGAACATTTGATAAATTCGAATTTATGATTTTCGAACTTATTTCACCAACTCAGTTTATTTATTAATATGTTTACAAATTGTTCTCACCCTGCTTTAGTTCAAGAATGAATCATATTTATTCTTTTTTTGGAATGACTAGCTAATAGGAAAGTAAAATACGCTGGTTTGAAACACACAATAACATATTTTATTCACTGACTTGTAACAATTGTATTGGACGTAATATATACTACTTAACTTTTTCATTTAATCCGAGAAGAGTGGTGATAAATATTAATTCTTGAAAATAAGAAAAACAAAAAGCCGGTTCAAGCTCTTAGGAAATGGTGTGCTTTCTTTGAGTGATGTAATGAAAATGTGGTGATAAATAGACTTGTTAATAGATTTTTAATAGACTAATTAATAGGCTTGTTATTAAACTAATTATTTAACAGACAAATTATTAGACAAATTTTTGGATCAAATACAAAAATTTATAGACAAATTAAGAGGAAATGGTGTGCTTTCTTTGAATGATGTAATGAAAATGTTGTGATGCTCCCGTTGCAGGGAGCTATGACCGCTAAACTCACGTTCGCATTACAAACCTGCACAGGGATTCTTATGTGCGAACTCGACATGTCACGTGTTTTTTTTTTTATTTTGTTTTGCTGTTTTTGTTGGTATTATTTTTTGTTGTTTTTTGTTGGTGTTATTTTTTGTTATTTCTTAAACTTAAATTTATTAAAAATCCATAAAGATCGATAAAATTAACAAACAAAATGTACTTACCACCATAGCACTTTTCATTGATGCCATAAAAGTGCTGCCCTTTCTCTTACCGGCGTCCGAGTTTGACCTACAAAAAAATTAAATTGAGGAAAATTAAAACGAATATACGATTCAAATATATAAAACAATATACCGAAATCCGGGGAAAGTTAATACTGATGTAATTATTAATAGACAATTTAATAGTCAAATAGATAAATAAACAGAAAAATTTTAGACCAACAAATAAATACACATTAATAGACAAATTAATATATTAATTAATAAATCGACAACTTAGTAGACAAATTAATAGATAATTTAATAGACAAATTAATAGACAAATTAATAGACAAATTAATAGACAAATTAATAGACAAATTAATAGACAAATTAATAGACAAATTATTAGACAAATTAATAGACAAATTATTAGACAAATTAATAGACAAATTAATAGACAAATTAATAGACAAATTAATAGAAAACTTAATGGACAAATTAATAGAAAAATTCACGTACAAATTATTAGACAAATTAATGGACAAATAAATAGATAAATTACTAGACAAATTATTATACAAATTAACAGACAAATTAATAGACATATTATTAGACAAATTAATAGACAAGTAAAAGACAAAGTAATGGGTAAATTAATAGACATATAATAGACAAATTAATATACAAATTAACAGACCAATTAATAAATAGACAAATAGAAAAATTAATAGACACGTTATTAGACAAATTAATAGACTTATTAATGGACTAATGAATAATCTAATTAAGACTGATTAATATACTAATTAACAGACTAATTACCAGATTAATTAATAGACTTGTTCATAGATTTTTTAATAGACTAATTAATAGACTTGTTAATAGATTAATTAATAGGCTTGTTATTAGACTAATTATTTAACAGACAAATTAATAGACAAATTTTATGAATATTTTTTTCGAAAACCTCAAAATTTACTTAAGCTTATTGATACGATTAAAACACCTTTCAAACGAGGTATATCGCACGACCTAAATTTCTATTACCTTTTTCTGAATCCGTGCTTTTTGGGACTGGAGTCCACCGATCCACGTCTTTCTGACGAATTCGACCTGGAGGTCGAGGCGCTCTTGGGTTCTCTGTCTTTTTTACGTTTCGACTCCTCCTTGGATTTGTGTTTGTCCGTTTTGGCGCTCCAGGTGCCCGATCTCGGCCTGGGTAACAGGGAATCATCTTGCGTGGTTTGCGGGAGATGTTGCGAACCCAATTCCTAACATAAAAACGATTTTAAATGTGAAAGAAATTTAAAAAAATATAATTTCAAAAATAATTGAGCTACGGCTTCCAATATTATACAATTGATTTAAAAAATGAAAAAAAAACTGTTTCTTGAAATCCAGATATAACTCATACAACTCATTAACAAAATATGTAAAAATAGATTTCTGGAGATACCTTTGTAATATTTTTCTCCATTTCCAAAATGGCGAGGTGTCAAAATCATAATTTGGATTCAACATTCCCACCTTTATACCATTTCAAAAATAATTGAACTATAACTTGCAAAATCATAAAATGAATTTAAAAATGTATAAAAAAATTTCTTGAGGTCTAATTGTAATGGTTTAAACAGTTTCAATATGACGAGGCGTTAAAAGTCAGAATTTAGATTTTCAGAAATTCGACATTTGAGTCTTTACCCTATCACCATTTTAAAACTAATTGAGATCTTTCAAAATCACAAAACTTATTCAAATAAAATGTAAAAATAGATTACTGAAGACATCTTCGGAATATATTTCTTAATTTCAAGATGATAAAGTGTCACAAGTTATAATTAGAATTTCAAGAGATTCGACATTCAGATCTTTAACATTGAGACATTGCTACAACTTTATTTGTTGCAAAGTGACAAGGCGTCAAAGTCAGAATTTATATTTTTTGATATTGAACATTCAGATTTTTATTCTGTCACCATTTTAAAATTACCTGATTTTATGAGTTCGAAGGTGTAAAGAAACTTTATGACTTTCAAACTCGTAGTGTATTCAACAATATGAATAAAGACCACATTTTATTATCGTCATTGGTTTGAATTGATAGGTTTTTATATTCGATTTTTTTTTTATTAAACATTCAGTTCCGACAAAATTTCCTTAGTATTTTTTTATACAATTTACTACAGAAAAATAACGTTTTACGTATGTACCTTCCACTTTGATATCCAAAGATTACCATTTTCTTTTATCACCCTCGACATTTTTCCATTACATACACAAACTCGAGACGATATACTCGACATAGCAATAAACAAACAAGTAAATATTAATACAAAGTATAAAATAAGAATTCTCTGTCATCTGGCGTAAAACTGGAAAAGCACGAACGTATCGCTTACCAAAAACAATTGAATTATACACATCGCGGTGCGTATTATTCAATTAAGTATTATATTACATTCATTATAAAAAAATAGGTTTTTTTCTGAATATTTGACATGCTACTCTTTTTCTCACGAATATTTTCGATGATATATTTTTGTCATTTATTGTTTCTGTTTATCTACTTTATTTAGTTGTGGCATTTTAGAGGTGACAATTACATGGATAATAATAATACTCTCTCTAATTCACCCCCCTTACGAGTGGTGCTCTGGGGCGACGTAAAGATGACTGATGGTGCCATTTGATTTACAGGTAAGAAAAACTCGGAAAACCCCACCCACCCTCATGAAATCAGTAACGCATGGCGATTTATAATCTGGAAATTAAATTACTACTAATACGGCACCCATTAAATCCGATAGCGAACCATGCAAATTAATTAAAACTTCACATGGTCTGCTGTAGGATTCGAAGCCGCTACAACTATATAAATATAAAAATATCGCAAGTGGTTGTAAAATTACACTTTGACACAACAAAGGTGACGTCAAACGTTGGTCTTCCACGCTTAAATTTTACAAACCATTTCTGAACCATAGTTTTATATGCTGTTTCTGTAGTGACCCACTACATACTTTTCTTCTTACTTTTAGATAAACTTTCATTATGTGACAGTTCTAGTAAAAGAGAGAATACCAAGAATATGTTTCCTTGTTTTATTATTATTATTATTATTATTATTATTATTATTATGACTTTTATTTTTATGTACAACTTGTCACTTTCTCTTCCACAAATTATACATTTATATACATTGATCGTATTTTATTAATAATGAGATTCTACTACAACATAAGAACCCACAAATGAATTATAGGTTAAAGTCAAACTTTACGACAATTATCTCAGAACCATCATATACTAGTAACTCAAAATAAATCCTCAGGAACGCGAAATCTCTGATCTGAGTTAATTAATGAAGAATTTACTCAGCTTTACAAGGCTAATAAGATTACTGTATTCATTATTTATCTTTGCTTAATATAAATAAAGAAAAACAGTATACCTACTTTTTTGGTATCCGGCATCTTAACCCAAATATCTTCGGCGCTACCAACATAATCGACAGTAGAACTACTAGAATTCTGACTCTTCATGGCAATCAGCGACGAATCAAAGAATTTGGCATCGTAATGCGGACTTTGCAACGGTGATCTGAAAATATTCCTCACCGAAGCCCTAGCGGCATCTTTGGAAGGCACTCCCATCACAGTATTGGCCATCCTGTACTTCTTATTCCTGGCAAAAATTTTGGCGGCTTCTGACAGTTCCTTTTTAGTGCTGGCGGTACTAGTAGCGGCGTCTTTTTCCGTTTCTGGGTTATCATCAGGTTTCTCATTTTCCTTTTTGGTCTCATTCACTGTTTTGGTTTTGGTTATCACAAATTTGTGGGTCGGACCACTGATTGTATCTATCACAGACGTTTTGGATCCGCTTGAAGATTCCGATAGGGATTTATCGCTTCCTATAGAGTGGATAGGTTATGTTCGAAGATGTGTAAAGTTTGTTTGATGGGTGGACTTTTAGTTTTGATAAAAATGATTAGGTATTTGAGGTTGTGTTAATTGTTCATGTAACCAGTTAGAGTGATGGGTCATCAAGGGATCGAGGACAATGAAGAGGCTGACGAACTTACAAAAATAGTGTCAGAAGAAACATCAGAACCAGAAAGAAACCTAGGAGTTTAAAAAAAGTCTAAGTTTGAAGAAAATACAACAATTATTGGTAAACAGAACACTATGTTATGTATGGGGTATTAATACACTGCGACCTAAAAGATCAATAATTGTGCCCCTTTTGTCGCTGAGGCAGCAAGGTATTGATACTTAACGATCCTTCCAATCCTATCTCCCCAATGAACTGTAGGATTTAGAGTGGGTTTAAGATGCGTAGATCACCCTCTTCTATTTGGTATAAGTATATTGCCCTTGGATTCTGGAGTGCTACACGTTCAATTTTCACTATCTTCTACTAGTCCCAGTTTACTAATGTGTCCTTTAAGTCAGCAATGCCCGTTAAGGATCCGTGTTACAATGCGTAACCTATTCTTGCTTAGACAGATACAAACTTTCGTTCTTTTTTGTATTAAGTCACTCAGAAATATCTTAACCTGTCTCAACCCCAAGAGGTCGTTCCAATTATTGGTTTTTCTACTGCCCAATTCTTTTTTAATCTCTCCTAATATTATGTTACTGCTGATACCGCAAAATGACCCAAGTCCCACAAAAGGTGTTTGAACCCCTGTCCTTGCGAGACTATCTGTAATTTCGTCCCGGGACATAACGGATATGTCCCGGAACCCAAAAGTGAGAGTAATTGTATTTTCCTCTTCTAGCTCATACAGTTTTTCTAGGCATCTCCAGACCATTTTTAAGTTGATTACGTAATAGCTCAGGGCTTTGATGGCTGCTGGCTATCGGACATGATGATAATCTCTTATGTCCGATAGTTTCTCTCCATGTAGAACTGGACAAGCTTCTCAATGGCGAAAATTTCCGCCTGGAAGATGCTTGTGAATTTTTACAAAACTTTTAGAGTACTTGGTAATAGGCCTATATACTCCTATTCCAGTTCCGTCTGTGGTTTTGGAATCATCTACATACCAATGTGGTAATTTTGAGATATTAACTCCCTTAGTAGCTAAATTAGTTCTGTTACTACAAACTACAGCCCCGTAAGTGATGATTGCTGTATATATCCATCGCAGTGTTTTAAGAAAGGTTACTTACTAGAAAAAACATGGATAAATGGAATAGAAAAAAACTAGCTACAAGAACCAACAACTAATCAACCTCCAATACCATACAGGGCATAAAGTGAAACAGAAGAAATGTACAACTTGCCAAATCTTGTGAGAGAATTGAGATGTCCCAACCAAAAAGAAACAAACCAAAATATAAGGATGGTGTTACTTTACTTTTCTGAGTAGGACGTGTCAGTACAGTATCGTTGCAATGATCCTGAAATTAATTTAATTAAAGCACATTCTTTGACGGTATATTCCGTTTCTTTCTTTAGCCACTTATGCATTACTGTTTCATTATCATTATTCATCTACTCCTCCTAGTTTATAATAGTCAATATTGAAAAAAATGCATCTAGACTGTTTTTAACTTGGAAGTGAAATTTGTGTTACTATGATTTCTTAAACTTTTTCTTTCTAGATTCTTTTATACGTTGATATTTTCAATTAAAACCTTATATCCAAGTTCCCAAAATGAATATAGATTGTACTTTTATATATTCAGGTGAAGAATATGCCAAGACCACAAAAACACGACATGTTTGTATTTTCACAAGGCTCTTGGTATCGGTGAGCCTGATCTAACGAGGGCAGTAACTATTAAGGGATTAGGTATAAGTATTATATTACAGTGTTTGGCTAGGAAAAATATCTATGAGCCATTTCTTTGACTATTATTAGCCAAATTCAGCATAACCATATTTTTGTAATCTAGTGGCTCTATCAAACATTTAAACAGCTTACTGTGTTTAAATTATCAGCCAGTTCCAAATCTAAATCTAGTAAAGTCGATTCTAGAACTAACTATAAGTTCTACTCTGAACATTCCAAACTCCTGAGAACCTTCCGTTGGAACAAACTTATTTTCCTTTGTAAATTGTACGATTATAGGGCAATAAAGCTTTAATTATTTATATATTTTATTTACTGCGTTCCTTGTAGTTGAGTTCTATATGCTTTATAATACTTATCCACAGTATTTGTAAAAAAAGTTTATTATAACTTCTTTTGACACTAAACATTTACTCGCCAATGGAATATTTACGAAGTGATCAGCTTAAAGGGCAGATACAGAATGAGCTCCCGTCATCTACAAGCGCTTGGGCAAGTCTCTCGCAAGATTTGTCAAATTGTACTTATTACACAACTAACCGCAAATCATCTCCATATTCGAAGGTTCTTTCTTCTCCTCCTCTTCATCCTCCTCCCTGCACTGGGACAACCTCCTCGACGCCATCGTCATTTTCGACGGTAAACTATTGCTGTGGTTGCTGAAGTACCGCTGCAAGAAACTATTGCTGTCCTCTTCCGGCTTGACGAATTCCTTAAGGGCCAACACGAAAGGTGGCAGAACGTTGTGGTTGATGGTCTGCACGAGATCGGGTTCGATATCGCTTTCGTCCGATGACGAGGTCAATAAGGATTCCTTCTTGGAGTTGTTAGAGTTGGAATTGGTGTGGTTGGGTTTGGGATCGGCGATGGCTGGATGACCGTTTTGGGACTCTTCCGCGATATTGTTTGCATGTAGGGTAACATTTGTGTCCATCTGTGTTAGGAAGAATTATGAAGAGGGGGTTATTTAAAATATTGATGGTATTTGTTTCAGTTTTGATTTATATATTTTTAATATTCTTTCAAATAAAAGAAAATGTTATTATCTATAACAATAATTCGTTTTAAGATGCACTTTAGTGGATGGTTTATTTAACAAAATGCGCTATCAAAATAACGCCTAACGCAAAAAAATTTCATCTTACACTAAATGTCAAACTGACCAACAAAAAGTAAAAAGATGTTTCACAACAGCGGGGTGTCAATCTGTGATAACACAGCCTAACAGTCATTTTGTTGCCTGAGATACTATAACTATTTATACATAATTTTTGGAGTGCAGAAACCAAAATATCTGTCAGATTTGGTCTATCAGATCTAGTTTTTAAGATACGCTATATTGGCCTTTCTGTAAACCTATACAATTGGTTGTGGAGGTAGTAAACTGTTATGCTCATGTTGCACTAATTCTGTATAATTCTCTACTCATGATTACCAAGAACATTTTCTACTACTTCAACAAATGAAGAGCAATCTCGTCCATTGGTGCGGTAAATTGTTGATCTGTAAAAAGCTGCCTCATCTTTCAGTTGTGTTAAATAGCCAAAATAAAGTCCATCTCAAATTAAAGCCTTTACAAAGTGCTTCAAAAGCTCCAACTTGATATGCAAAAGCGGAAATATGATTTTCTCTCACGACAAAAGATTCGTTGATTAAGTTTTGTATTCTTCGAATGACATTTCTTGAAGACCAACTTTGCTGTTCAATGAAAATGTTTAGATCGACACAAATCACCCATTGATGTTTTTAATATTCAATTTTTTTCAAACTATTGATTTTGTCTCATATTCCTCTTTTATACTAGTTAAGAAACTAATGAATCATGTTTGTTACCTTTGTGTAAAAGGAGATATTTAAAACTAAGTACGTTTCAAGCTGTCAATAAAAATTAGCAATTTGTCTGTAGTATATTTTAACGCACCAATTTTTCTAAGAATCCTCTTTATGCTCATTTTAGAGATTCAGGTCTCTATAAGATTATTCGGTTCTTGTTGATCTCAAAAACTAGAGCTACTAGAAAAAAATGGCAGGTATTTTTGGAATCAGCACATCAAAAATATCCTGGATCAGTTCTTATTCTTCTAACACTAAGACAATTAGTCTAAGATATGGTATAAGAACTATAAACCCTCATCTGTTATTTGATGATGACAAAGATGTTAGATCATAATATGTACGCTGATAAATCTAAATGGGTTGCCTAGCTAAATATCGGGGCCAATACTGTTAATTAATATTAACTTTAATTAAACTTTTTTGATCAATTTCTATAATTTGTTATTGATGAAAATCAATAATATGTAGCATTAGTCGAGAGAATATTACACGAGGAATTGGAAAAATATAGGTTGTCTACTGTCCCTTTGGTACAACAATGAAGTTCCCATGTATAAACAGGTAAACAGGAGTGATTAATATTAATGTACCCTCATCAGTTATTTAATTGAATTTTTATGAAATAAAAGGTTACTCTTTATTCCATATCCAACAGTATTAGGTTGCCTTGTCAAAAGTGTGTCACTACCATGATTTCCTAGATTTTAAATGTTAAGTTTTAAGCGCGAGCAGGTAGAGTTACTGAGAAGCGTTGAGAGCGCTACTTCATGCAACAGATAAGAATGCCGAGAGTTCAGAAAGAAGATTTTTCCAATCGTGAAAGCGCGCTCCATTAAATACTGGAATTAAGGCAAACTAAATATTAATATAAAATAAAATTAAAAATTAATTCTAATTCTTACTCGAAAGAAGTGCTTACATCGAAATTCAATTCTTTTTTGTTTTCTTTGTTTTAATGTGTTGAGTATATCCTCGACTTGCAAGGTGTTGCGTCCCCTAAGAACCACGTTGGCTTCAAAATGCTATCCAAAGGCCAACCGCATTCTTCTGGGCTTAGTTTGACACAGCATGCATCAGTTGTAAGAAGTCACATTGTATTAACAAATTGTGCCCAAAATTTTCTGTTTAAATAAGATCCAGTATGGTGGGATCAGATTGAAGTTGATGCCTTTAACTTTTTTTTATAAATTGCGATATATAGCGTCTTTGCCGTATAAGTCAATGGCGTATGAGTTAAGGCCGAAAGCGTAAGTTAAGGCTGAAAGCGTAACCCAAGGCCGAAAGCGTAGTCCAAGGCCGAAAGCGTAACCCAAGGCAGAATAGCGTAAAAGTTCTGAGCGAAATTTTAAAAAATCAGCGGTTTACGAAGCAACCCATAATGGCTAAAGGCCAGACCGTAGACCAAGGCTATATCAGTTAATTTAATTCTTATTGTCCTTCCTCATAATAAAATATTATATGCTTATACATGAGTGCAGAGACAGCGTGTGGTGGCGTTGTCTAATGAAGTATAAGGAATCGCTTTTCAGCCTTTCAAGTAATCTTTGTCTATCACATGTAGTAAGGAGCATGCCCCTCTCTCTTTCACTCAACAGCTGCCTGGCGCACACCTGTATCTCTGCATCCTTGTCTGTCATATGAAGTGGCACAGGCAACGCTTCTGTGTCACTACCCATGCTCGGGTATAAAACTTAATATTTAAAATCTAGACAACCATGGATGTGACACACTTTTGACAATGCAATTTAATACTGTTGGATAGTGAATAAAGTAACCTTTAAGTTCATAAAAAAATTCAATTACATAACTGATGGGAGTTTATTATTAACGCCCGTTTACCTGTTTGTACCTAGCAACTTCATAGTTGTACTAAAGGGAAGTATGCAACCTACATTTTTAATTACTTGTGCAATATTCTCTCAACTAATGCTCGATTTTCATCAATAACAGATCAAGGAAGTTGATAAAAAAAAGTTAAAAATGTTAATATTATTTAACAGTATTAAATTATCCAACATATAATCTTTGTCATCATCAAATAACGGACGAGGGTATATATTTCTAATACTATATCTTGTACTAAATGATGTCATTTTGTTGGGCTGTTATAATTGATCGACATCTAAAAACTATTTTAATTTCTTAATTTGCTTTTATGCTGTTAAATCCATTAATTTTTTTTTTAATAACCCACATATCTAATGCTTCAGTCTATTGGGAATTCATCGCCCTCTATATAAACACGAGTTACTACTCATAGACAAATACATTTGATATTAACGTTGTTTTTCATGTGATTAAATGTTGTATTACATTAGCAAGTAGTAATACTCTCCCTATTTACCCCCTTACAAGGTACTACACCAACATTTTTAAACTCTCGCAGTCAAACACTAATAGATATCACTTTATCCACAACTAGTATCTATAAATCAATTCTAAACTGGCAAGTGTCTGATAACATTTCGATGTCAGACCACCGCTGGTTAACATTCAAAATAAACTTGATGTTGCCGACCTCCACGCTATCTATGCCCACCTTCTCCAAGAGGCTCTGAGAGAGATGGAGGCCGAAACACCAAACAATAACAATGCTTTGGAGAAGTACTCGAACACTATCTAAAGCACAATAAACAATGCCTATAAGAAATCCTGTCCCCTGAGGCTGGTCCAACACGATCAGACGACTACTGTATGGTGGTGTCACGAGTTGGATCACCTCAGAAAGATGGCTAGGAAATCCTTTAATAAGGCAAGAATCACAAAACTCAAAGAGGACTGGGACACTTATAAATCTCACCTCAGAGAATACCAAAAAATCGTCAGACAAAAACAGAGAGATGCATGGAGATCCTACTGCGAAGAAATCGATGATTTCCCGCAGGCAGCGAGGCTTCAAAGAAAAAGCTCTCTCAAAAGATCCACACCGAAGCATTGGTGCGCTAATCAAAGAGGATGGCATGAAAACTGCCAACCTCGAAGATAGCATCAAACTTCTGCTGTCAACACACTTCCCTGACTCGGTCATCACAGACGTGGCCGACTGGGCAGAGGAAGAATACAATCCATCTGCCTATGATTGGCAAACTGTCAAACACATTGTAGACGATGAAAAAATTAGATGGGCAATATCCAGCTTCTCTCCATTTAAATCGCCAGGACCTGATGGTATTTATACTTCAGTGGGGTCTGGAAGAACTCACACCGCACCTGGTGGGTATATTCAGATCCTCGTTGGCTCTGAGGTATATCCCCCAAAAATGGAAAAAGGTTTGGGTATAAATGGATTACACTGTCCCAAAAACATACCGACCAATTAGTATAACATCGTTTTCCATGAAGACATTGGAAAGGCTATGCGAAAGGTACATAAGGGATACGGTGATTACAACAACACCACTACACCCAAACCAACATGCTTACGCCCCAGGCAGATCTACTGATTCAGCCCTTCATCTAGTTGCTAGAAAGATCCCTGGACAATAAGGAGTCCGCCTTGAGTGTTTTCATAGACATAGAAGGTGCTTCTGATAAAACCACCTTCCCAAAGATAATACACCCACTAACCAATAGGAATGTTCCACAAATGGTTAGTGGGTGGATACATAATATGCTCTCAAAGCGAGCAGTAAACATAAGTGTAGAAGATGTGAATATAAGAGGCTTGGTTGCGAGGGGATGTCCACAGGGAGGGATGCTATCACCTCTACTGTGGAATATGATCCTCGATACCCTCATCAGCCGCCTCAATAATGACAGTCACTACACAATAGCATATGCAGATGACCTGGTAATTCTGCAAACAGGGAATTATGAGAACATACTCTGCGACAGAATACAAGTAGCTCTAAAAATTATAAAACAGTGGTGCAAGGACCATTCACTGTCTATCAATCCTAAGAAGACAGAAATGGTCCTTTTCACAAGGAAAAGGTTGAGAATGGAATTAAAACCTCCAGAACTCCTAAACACCTAAACTTTGCAACAGATGTGAAGTACCTAGGTCTCACTTTTGACAGCAAGTTAACATGGAACTCGCATTTAGAAAACAGAGTTAAAAGAGCATATATTACTTATGGACAATGCCGCCGAACCATG